CCTAAAACTTATATTACTGTCAGATGACAAAATCAGATGGACAAATTGGTACATTTTTACTACACTTATTTTATTTTTTCTACTATAGTAAGTTTATCTACAATCTATGATATTTCCATATAAATAATTATATTTTAGCTCATTTGTAGCACAGTGCAGCGGTGGGCCGGATGAACTGACCCGTCCTAGAATGACTGCATATTTTTACAGAAAATTACACACTATTTATTCTTACAGCCAAAAGTAATATAATTTAAATCCCCTGGTCATTTTAATATATTGCTTTACTGCCACTTAGATTATCATCAAATCAAATCATCATGGCAGGGAATCTATCATCATGCTTGATCAAATTACAGCAAGCTGTGCTCACAAGACATAATTATGCTATCAATTTTTTATTTTTTTTTCAAACACATTTGCTGCCATGTACCCCACAGGTGGATCACAACTGACTTTTAATTATGGACCGTGTGACACACCAGTGGGTCACAAATTACAAATGACTTCAATGAGCTAATTAAACAGAGTATAGTTTCCCATATAAATATTAGATACTTGGGTTAAGTAAAAAACTAAAAGTATTTATAACCTAATAAGTTTTTAATTTTTACAGTTTAGTTACTTTTGTAACAATAAGTAAAAAATATACAAAAAATCAAGAAATTTAGCACTTATATAAGGGTCTTATACTTTTTGTTCTCAAAGTCCAAATGAAATTTTAACCTGTTTTTTGTATAGGTGTTATTAGTACTTTATTCAATTTTCATTTATCTTAAATATACAATTCAGAACACAAAATGTTAATACACAACACAAAAACAGTTTTAAAACAATTATAATTTAACTGATTTTCTAACTAAATCTGTGTTAAAATAATTTCCTTACCTGAATGAGGTGATTTCAGCGATAGCAAACTAGAAAACTGTCAAAGAATAGCTCAAAACTGATTGTAATAACAAGCTAGTCTTATAAGGGAAGCAGTAAAGTAAAGTAATCTCTTTCTATTCGTTCATAAATAATCCAGTAACATGTGTCAGAAAGAATTAATGATATTTTTTAAAGATACCATGTGCTAAGAAGGGTTTGACATTTGACTTTCAATTTATGGCATATAATTTATTAAAGCAAGAACAGAAGTCATAAATTTTAATTTTAGCTTGGGGATATCTTAAATATAAGAAAGTCCTCAGAAACTTCAAAAATAATATAGGGGTAGAAAGAAATTCTATAATGGACATCTTGGAGCATACAAGTGTCATGTGATACTTGGCACCAAATTTGAACTTATGTTAAAATTATAAACTAAGATTTGGTGCCAAGTTTACATATATAAATTGGTAATAAAGAAGTCTAATTAAACTTCGAATATAATGTTGTATAAAGGTAATGACATGTGTACTTTGATCTACCTGTATACATAGGGTTAAACTCTATACAGTTTTCCAACATTCACATAAATCAGTCGCACAGTGGTGGATTGGTAGTTTCACTTACCGTGTATTTCTTCAACATTGACCCTAGCTCCTCTTTTGACTAACAATCTCACTACATCATGATTGGCACGGTTAACTGCTAAAAAGAGTGGAGTACGGTCAGAAGAATCTAGAACATCAATCTTGGCTCCACTATTTAATAACATATCTACTATTGTGGGAAATCCCCGACTAGCAGCAACATGTAAGGCTGTTGATTTATCACTGAAATTAAAAAAAATAAGATTTTCATTATTAAACTTTAATAAACAATAAAATCATTATAGAATCCAGTCACTCTTTTAAGAACAATAAACATATTTATCTTGCTATTTCAGATATTACAGTTATGCTGTCAGTTAAAAAAAAATAAAGTCATATTATAGGCCAATTTCTGTAATAATGCCTTTTGCATTTCCAAAGAAACAATAAACATTATAGTGTACCAATTTTATACACACTTTTACTAAATACCACTAAAAATAGTTTAAAACCAAACATTTTCAAAAGAAAAGTGACAATCTTTCTTTATCCAGTATTTTTCTACATTATATATTTATATAAGAAGTCTTAAAAGTCATAATGAATAAAATAAAAAAATATATATAATATACTTGAACACAGAGTCCTTGTTTTATTTAGTTGCTTTTAGACATCTATATAAAGCTACTCAAAGGCTACCTGCTCTAGCCATCCCTAACTTTGAACTGACATATTGAAGGGAAAGCAGATGGTTAAAAGCATACATCACAAATTCTTGGGCTACTCTGTTTGAAGATATATTGGAATTTTATCCTTACAATGCACCCATGGCCCCAACGTGCTGAATACAATTTTTTTTTTTTTTTTTTTTTTTTGTGGTAACTGGATGTGAACAATGGACCCATAGATCCATAATTCTGCACCTTAACCATTAGGCTGAGCTCAACCTCAGATTTATTGAAGTGTCATGATTAGTATTCAATATCAAATTGAGCATTTTGATTTCTTAAATGCAAAAATTCAAATTCTGATATCTTGTATATTGGATATTATTACTTGTGTATTCTATATGGGAGATAAAGCCAATACTGGTCAACAGAGCTGGGCAAATTAGTCGATTAATTGTCACTTCTATGTAATCGATCAATCAAATTTAATGTTTCCAATTATTACAATAATCAATTAAAGTCATGAAAATACAACTAATCAAAAGGAAAGCAACTAGCTGGCAGCACCCACCACTAACTCTCTGGCTATTTAAGTGTTAAATAAAGTGTAAAATTACTGTTTTTTTACATTGTTTTATGTTTCTAATTTTATTTAACAACTGTATTATTCAGTGTTGTATAAACAGGTATGGTTCTTTGGAAAGGTGTTTGGACCCTCACTAATTTTTACGTTTTATTAGCAGCCAAGGATCTTGGAGATGGGGGTCTGATCCCTTCAGTTTTTTTAAATTAATTAAGAACTATTTCTTAATTTTGTATAAATAAGTGTCAAACTATGGGAGGGATTCAAGGATCAAGAATAGGGGTGCAAAATGAGGGTTCAAGGGGTGTGCAGAAGAGGCCTATACAAGGTCTGTTTTCCCTCAAATCTCTCCAATAGGAAATGTCTAATGCACAATTTTTAGGGGAGGGGTGTGAGGGCTTCCTTAGGGGGTGCAAGGACCACAAAAGGTTGGGAACCACTGATCTAGACCCTTTTCTATATTTAAAATTAATACAGTAAAATTAATGCAAATTTATAAGTATTTCTAGTAAAGGACTAGTTGGACTTCATTCACCTGATAAGGTGTAAGTTGTAAAATTTGCTTTTTACATTGTGTTATAATTCATAAGCTCCATAACTTTACTCATTAGTATTAAAAACTAAAACATTTCTTTTTTTACATTCTCTATGTGTTATGTTTGAAACTCCAATAGCTCTTACTTTTGTGATTTTATGTTGTGGTGAAAGTTATGATAGGCACTGGCATGCCTGGAACACTGAACTTTCTGATCACGGGGCAAACACTTTAGATTTTGCAACCCCTTCCATGATTGTGAAGCAGTATTCTTATCCACTTAAAAATGTCAGCCTTTTAATCACACGATAAATTAGAAATGTAAATTCACTGACCAATTTATTACTAGACATCACCTAATCTATAATTTTATAATAGTCTAACAAGTCAATAATATGTAATACTGTTAACTTCCACTAAGTCCATAGCCTATTTATATGAACAGAACTCCAGTTTAATATGGCTAGCTCTACTACATGTATATTGTAGAAAGCAACAAAAGTATGGCTGTAGACACATGCAGCTTAGACAAGTCCTAGTAATGGTGATGCTAATATACATACAGGTTGTTTGTTTTATTGTGTGCAAATTAAAATCACATCTTCAGAATTCCTTTAAATATATGCACTGTGTTTCTAAAGTAAATGCATCAAGAGATATTGGTTCAAATTACTAAGTGTTTTCTTATGTAATAGAGCATGACAAATGTTCCAAGCATTCTTAATCATTCCCTAATGGTTTCTAAACTTTGCAAGATAAATTTATGACTGTCAAAAGTCTTATTTTACAAAAGTTATAATTTTCCTAAATGAAAATGTATTTCCGATAGGTACTTCCCTCCACTCACAAGACTAGCTTTTCTCATTTTATGCTGCCCTCTGTATGCAAACTTTTTCAGAAATGCATGTCACAAGCCTTCATCATCCCTCTGAACTTGACAGCTGCCAAACGAGAAGTGATAGTTCGATAGTGGTGCATAGAGTGAGTCACGTGATAGTAGTGCTCTCCTATTGATGGAGAGGTGATGTATGATGATTTGCATGAGAGTGGTGTTGGAACTTTGAATTCCAACAGAAGGATGATGAAGGCTTGTGGCATGCATTTCTGAAAAACTTCGCATACAGATGGCAGCACAAAACGAGAAAAGCTAATCTTGTGAGCGGAGGGAAAGTACCTTATCGAAATAAATTGATGTTATTCTAATTTTTATGTTGTTTTGCTTTAAACTTAGGCTATTTAAAGAACATTGAAAATACTATGTTTTTACTTTAACTAAGTAGATATTTGCCTAATAAAAATTATTTATGGTTAATTGTTTCCCTGGGTTACAAACCATTTGAGTGACTACTTAAGTTGTAGGTACAACACTTAAGGCTCCAAAATTATCATAAACAAATTTGTGACATATATAATAATACTAAACTGTTTAGAAAAATGTATATTGCACACAATATTAATAGTGAATAAATGTTTCACCATTTTTAAACAAATACATGAGCTTTGGATCTTAGAGGCATCCAGTATCCTATATACCATTGCACATATATGTGGTGTTTGGTATTAGACACTGCATACGACCTGTTTGTATGTTAACTTAATATAGAATAATGTTAATCAGAAATTAACTACTTTGATACAATATGTAAAAATAAAGGTTTTATGGTTGAAAATGTATGGCTTTTTAGAAAGCAAGTGTTAAAATCTGCAAGTTTTAGAAAGATTAGTGTGACCACTGAATTAACTATTTTGATATGTTTTTCTAAACTTCCATCTGTCTCAACAACTTGCATAAAAACTTACGGTGATTTTATGTTTATAAAGTTGTTTATTGTTAATTATTTTGAAGTTTTCATGTTATTTGTGATGGATTTAAAAAACAAAATCTTAAAACATTGGTAGTTCAAGATTTCTTTGGTATTATTGATTTTTTTAAATATTTCTTATAATACTTTGATTTTTACCTTATGAATCATTTTAATATCTGCACAGAGGACATCTAGAACCACTATCGTCACAAGATTATTTTCAATTTCTTGTCAAATATTGAACGTTTGTTCTGTCTGTTTTTCTAGTATAGGTGTGAATTTATTTTCACTGAGTTATATATCATCACACTCTAATAACACTAACCAGAATCTTTTATAGTTTTATCACATGGAAACTAAAGGCAAGGTTTTAATGAATAATTTGGTTATTTAGCAAATAGTGTCCTAAATTCAGATATCCCAGTTCTTTGTAAAAATCTATACTTTTATTTAATAACAATAATACTAAAATGAAGAATTAGTTTACTGAGTAATAAATATCCCACTTTTCTATTACAATCATATGTTCTTTTCTCAACTCTACATCAGTGAAAATTGATTAAAAGTTAGTACTCTAAAGTATTTTTGAACCAACAGCCAATCCATAGGCTATTTGTTCTTAAAACTAAAATCCTGTGTCACACGTGTTAACTACACAACTGTAAAATGATAGTGTGTACAGAAAACAATCATTAGCAATGCAGAGTATAGATTATTTTGTAAAGTTGAATCTTTTGTGAAATAAAAATATATCAGCTGAATGGAAACATTTTGGCTATTGGGAAGACCATCATAATAAATTTGTGGATACACTGTAAAGCAGAGCGAAATTTAGTGGCAATATTACGAACATGCGAAAACATTTACAATTTCTCCATTTAGGTAAATACGTCAAACTTTTATGGTAAAATTTCCAGGAACAATGGCTATAAATGAATCACCATCTTCATCAAGTACATACCAGCAACATTAGTTACAGTAGTGCACTGTCAATGTCTGTACAACAATCATTGAAAAGACAGTCAACTATACAAGTGTTTTTAACAGCTAAAGGTAAGTATCCTATGAAAAACATGAAGCAGAAAAAAGGTTGAGATATTAGTAAACTACATAGCTGAGAGTATGCATTTATTACAAACTGTAACAGAATCTGGCTTTGTAATGATTTTTGAATTTCTTCATCTGAAATACCAAGTGCCATCAAGGAAAGAATTAAGTTGGGATCTTATTTCAAAACTGTACACAAACATTCAAGAAGTTGTTATGGACCATCTTTCTAAGACTAGTGGTGCGGTCATTGCTCTTGATATGAGGACCTCTAGAGCAAATGACCAGTGCCATGGTTTGACTGTTCATTTCATAAACCAACAGTGGGTTTTAAAAGGATATATATTTCAAAACGGTGAGTTTCCACTACCTCACGCTGCTGAGGTTAAGGCTCAGGCTGTTACTCAATGTTTAGAAAGTTGGCATATCTTGAATACGGTTGAAGTAATTCTTGAGCATAGCAAACTATATTTAGGTTAGCTTTACAGATTTAAAATACAGATGCATAGTTTGTTATTCTTGGATGTCAGTTTATTTCTGTTTTACAAGCATTTATAACCTTACTTAGTTAAACTGGTCATCAAAGAGTTGATTTACTACCTTCTTTACAAAATTAAATTTCAAATGTGCTTTAAACACTTAAGATAATGCTGGAAGTTCATCACAACAATGGTTATTTATGAGAGTACCTTGTGTACCTGGTTTTGCTATTTACACGACTTCCTGCCTTTAGCAACATTTCAGTGACTTCTTCGTGACCTCTACAAACAGCAAGATGTAATGGTGTGACACTCTCACTATCTGAAACATTGACTCGACAACCTAAATACAAAAAATACATATTAAAAATGTAGAAGTTTAAAAACACCCAACAGTAACCTATAATAAAAGCAAAAACAAAACAAAAATGCTTATTTTTAAACATTTTGTTACGGCCAAGATTTAAAAATCTTTTACTGGTCAAGATAATATTTTTATTTACCATATTTTCAAATGAATGTTTTTGTTATTTACTCTCTGGATATAGGTAGGTCAAAATGCACACATTATAACAACATTTTTACAGTTTAATTCAAAAGTTAATTACACTATTTTATTATCAACACATAAATAAACTTGACATCAAAACAGTTTAAAATTAAAATTCTTATATTAGCTAGGCTTTTATTTCTTAATTTCAAAAGAAAATATTTAAATTGATTCTTCATTTCCCTGTATCATGTGACACTTCTTTTCTCCAAATTACCTATTTTAGGTATTCATTCTATCCCCTAAGTGAGCTTTTGAGTTAAAAAAAGTATGCATATTTAGTATAGATAAGGTTAAGACATAACCCAAATTTATAGCCTACAATCATTTTACTTTACTGATATATAAACCAGAAAATTATCCCACATGCCACACCATCATATCACACATACAGTCTTTCCAAAAATGTCAATAATTATCCCTAACATTTGTTATTGGATTATTTATAACCAATAGAAATAGAAGATTTTAATTTACTGAACTCCTTATAAGGCAACCTAATTTTGATAACATTTTATGAATTATTTGGCTAAGTTTCATTTTCTGTTATTGAAGAGTCTCCTCGTCCAGCCAACAGAATTATTTTAATCCATTTACAGCTCAACTGGAAAGTCACTAAAATCATAATAGTTATATGACATTATATTCTTTGTGAATATTACTTTGTGTTTTAAACTTCATAACAGATGAAATATAAAGTTTTACTGAAAGAAAAACATTTGATGTTCATTTAGAACAGTGGTTCTTAACCTTTAGGTCATGACCCAAAACTGGATCACCAACAGTCTCCAAAGACTGTCCAAACTTTCGGTTGTAGTCATATATTATATTGCAATTAAACTATTTGAAGGCATGGGTCGCCAAACTAGCCAAGAGACCAAAATTTGAGTCACATCTAAAAATGGCTGACTTAGAAGTTTCAGAGGTTATTCAAATGAACTGTAAAATGAAAAATGTATTTTTATTTTCAACAAGAAAGTCACCTAGCACTCAGATTAACTCAGTAAAAACTTCATTTATTCATGGACATGAAAAATGCAATAAAATACTTGTAATATTTACTGAAAGCTTGACAAATTATGTGCAGAGATACACTACATTAAAATCTTTGGTAACATAGTGGTTACAAAGTCAGTCAAAATGACCTAGGCCATATATGGAGAGTTAACAGTTAACTTATATGATTACAAAAAACAGTACCACACTCATTTTAAAAGTTCAACCAGTGGGCACGACTTGCTGAGGTTTCACTTTTTCCAGGCAAGATAGGCAAAGCCAATGTTGAGGAATAGCTAAAGTGTCAGCAGAGGTAAGTATTATTGGAAATACATTTTCAATTCAGGAAAATGTTAACTTCCAAAACATACTTACCCTCCACTGCAACTTTGCTAGAATCCCACATTGAGAAGGTGTAGGGGTCGGTGAGGGCATTGTTCATACAGAAAGCATCTGTATAGAACAGGGGTGTACTAAGATAACAGTGGTAACCAAGTGGGGAAACTGCACTACATCCAGAACAGGCATGTTCTATACACCCAGAACTTAATACTGATATCAAGGGTGGAATAGTACATGAGTAATTATTATAGGCCAGCTCCAACCAAATAGCTAAGGTACCACAACTCGGGGTTGGAATTAAGGGGTCATGATCCCTATATCCCACATTGGTGGCTAGGGCAATTGGACTGCAATGTGGTATATAGATATACTTTTGACTGTATCCCAACCTGTAGCCATAGAGTGATGCATTTCAAACCACTGGAGTTATGATGAGAAAGAAGCAACACTGAAGTGATCAAACTTTCTCTTCCATTTGAAGAAGTCCGAAAGGCACCACCCCAGGCTCGGAATGACAGGATCATATATGCCTTACTCAACCAATGGAACAGAACTTATCTGGTCTGAAATTATGAACATTCATCCTCACTCTCCAACCGAGTAGGCAAGGAGCATTCCATTTGCCCCTGAAATTATGGAGAGGACATGGAACACTGTGTTCAACCAAGGACCTAGGATGGGACCTCCATTTAACATACAATCTAACATTGTTCATAAGAAGAGCCAAGCACACCTCAACCAGACAGGATAGGATCAAATACAAACTGGTATTATGAGTAGACTCCCACGTAGGCCAGTACCACTTCTACTGACATCTGGGAAATACATCCAGGGACCCAGGTAAGAGGGCCCCCCAGCTTCTCCCTTTTTTCCAAGAGTGAAGGAACACACTCAAACACTCTGGAAGAAAAGCCTCTGTCCACCACCCCAGTGACTGGATACTGGGTGTGGTAAGGACTCCCTAGCTCCACTAGTAGAATCTGGGGGGGGGATAATGCATGTTGGGGAATCCTGATGAACAGTGCTCTGGAAACAGTGCAATAGGTGAACCAAGTTCTCTAAATTTTCAAAAGCAAACTGACCCTGATTTACTTAATCCAAAGATTGGCAGAGACAGGCAGAATCCCCTTTACCTTTACTCATGATAGTCCATGAGTAGCGTTCCATGATAATATGGTAATACCATCTGGTAATGCACCTAGATGGTCTTATGGAACACCTCATTTCTACAGAGCCTGTTGCAACCAATAGTAAGTATAGTCAAATGGGTTGATAGTGTAGAATTGGATTGATAAAAGCACACCTGTCTGTGCAACACTCACCACAGAGTGAGATCCAGTGAAAGCATAAAGTAAGGGACTCTGAAAAAGAAAGACAAGAAAAGATTACTCCCTCCTCTGCATAATCTAGCAGATGTTGTTAAAGTGGCCATGGGGTTAGTGGAAAAAACCCAGATCATATAAAGAATGTGAGAGAAAAGCATTAGGAGAAGTCCACATACAGGCCCATAAAATGTCCCCCAGTGAATCAAAGAAATGTGCTGAGGCTGATGAGATGTAACTCTCAGAAGATTCCTTGCCTATAAAATCCAGAATATGCAACCTGGATATTTGCAAAACCACTTACAAGGAAGTATCCCAAATAATCCAGAGATGAGAACTATCACCATGAAAGGAGTTAAAGTGAGCCACATAACACCTCTGGGCCTGACAGGACAAAACAAATGATCAGCATATGATCAATTGTTGAGGTGAGAAATAGTTGGCAAAAGAATTGTGGAGAGAGATGTATCCCCTTCCCTGTTGGCCAGAGACTTGGAAAGAAAGGACCTAAAGGGAGAGATAATGAAGCCTATAAACATGCCAACAACTCCAACTGATGACATCAGCATGTCAGCAACAACAAAAAAATCCATTAAGGGAGAGGTGATACATGGTACATGAGGCTAAAGGCTCAAATGGGTGTCGAGACAAGGCATATAGTACCACCTTAATATCTTGAGTAAGTAATGGAAAAAAGGCCATTTGGGAAGAAGGCTGGATAACACTGAGGAGTCCAAAACCTTCAGATGTTTAGGATAACTAAAGGTAGATGAAAAAAGTTATCTGACCTAAATGACAGGAGATGAAGCTCATCCAGAGTAAAAAACAGGTCAAAACAAGGCATGGTGAACATGTTCGGTAAGGTGGGTACAAACTCTTTGGGAGGCACACCCCAGGCAAATGTAGACGTTAAACCCTAATGAGCTGGGAAAAGTCTTAGTCTAGTATGTGGGGTTAAGGATATGCCTCAATAAAGATAGCCAAAAAGGAAGATGCAGAGTTGGTCTTACATGAAGAAACTGTAGAAGAGGAAATCATGGCTAGGCCAGCCAATCTAGGCTCATAACTCTGAGTAACAGATGAAGTGAGGGAAAGTCATAGATGAGCAATCACATCCAAGCAGGACTGAATGCATCTACCATCCAAGCCTGAGGATGAGGTAGTGGAGACTCCAAGACTTGTAGTGGGGTATTGATGAGTGGCAAAAGCTATCATTGGAGGCCCAAAATGAGAACAAATCTATTGAAAAACTGCACAATGGAGAATCCATTTGGTCAGGAGAAAGTGAGGACTGAGACTGACAATCTGCTATGAAATCCATCACACCAGGTAAATGGCAAGCCAGGAGGCTGATATAATTGGAATATCATATAAAACATGGTGAAAACTTGTACAACCCAGCAGAAGACATATGGTGCTGATGCTAGACCAAAGGCTAGATCTGTGAATTGCAGAACTTGATCCCTGTATATAAAACATAGCTAAAGGAAAGATGAATGCATTATGAGAATGTATAGAAATGCCTCAGCAACCTCCAACTTGGGAATCTGCGGACCTGGTGAAAAATACCAATGTAGGGTGAGAAAGGACTCCATTGCGGACTGGAGAAAAATGAAGAATGGGTTGTGATGAGAAAGAAAGACGATCGTCCACAAATCTTCCCTTGTCTCAGATACAAAGAAACAGGAATATAACCCTGGTAAAATTGGATCAACTGTCACCTCCATCCCCATCCATGGTCAGTAACTCTGACAGCCATAAAACAAAAATCCACACTCCACTGATCAGGTGGAGGTGGAAGTACCACAGGGTGAGAGGATAATGGAGAATTGAATGGAAAGACCAATCTCGATACCAGAACCTAAAGTACCCATGGATCTGCACTGAAGGAATACCAGGTGTCCATCAGGAGTTGTAACCTCACTCTAACTGCCCCCCCTCATCTAGGTTGATACCGATGCCATTGCCGTCTATCGACCCAAATGGAGTGGCCATGAAAGTAAGATCCAAGTCTATTCAGCTGCTAGAGCCAAAGAAGGCCGAGAGGTCAACAATAACAAAAAAATGGGTAATGGCAATTCACAATACAAATGCTTCTTGGACACCCGCAATCATCATGAGATGATAACAACA